TTTCCTTCGTCCCGTCGGACTGTCTGCAATACCTCCGCCAAGTCTCACATATTGATTCGCACCATTCCATCCGTCAACACTGTCATTCCCTTCAACCGTTCTCATGTTGAGCCTACCCTCCGTTTTTCCCACTTCACTCCTAGTCCTTCGTTTCTTGATCATTTTCCTGGTTCTCTTTGTTCTTCGCGTCTCCTTCCCCGAGCAGGTGGACGAGGCGAGTGTGGTGAAGGACGTGAAGCAGTTCACATACCTTGACGGCGAGGACTTTGTTTTCATGGACATGGTGAGTCGTTCTTGTAAGTTAACTCGCACGTCTGCGAGAATGCGACAGTGAAATTAAGGCATGCTGCGCTGAGAGGTATCGATGCAGCCAGTGTCGGCGGCACTGTAAGGTGCGCTCAGCGGCCGTTGCTGTAAGCGCGGTGTTACCTAATAAGGCGCCTAAAGGCAGTAGCCGTAATGCGGCTTAGAGAGGGCAGCGGTGATGATGATCGTGATCCCAAGTGCCGAACGGCCGTCCGTGTCAAGATGGGCGGCCCTCATCATGTGGCCTCACCGGCGGACTGAGCTGCCCTTTACCGTCAGTTTTTTTAGAAGATGACTTATCTTCTCTTCATTCAGCTCCCTTAGACTATGTATGGACTAAATTATTTTTCTCCAGCGCGGGTTACCATCAAGAGGGATCGTTTTCCGATAAATATCCCCGGCTCCCTCCCGATTGCCAGTGCGGCGATGATGATAACCAAAATGAGACCCTCCGATGCCAGCTGTCACGTGACACGTGGCTGACTGCGTGAGGATAAAAATGATGCGGTTAACTGAGCCCCCGAGTTCCAGTTCCAGGCCTTCGTGCCCCTACCCTATGGTTGTCTCGTGCTCGTTTTGCATTAGTCTCTCAAAAGGTCCCTAGGTCCTCGTGGTGTCCTCCATGTCCTCTCCTCCCCTTATTCCCCGTCTTCGTCCTCTGCTTCGTTTCCCAATCGGTCCCGGATTCTTCCCTGGTTCTCCCCTTGTCCTTTGTGCATCAATCTCGTTTTATTCCCAGGTGACGTATGAGGAGACTCGGGTGACCAAGGCCCAACTGGGCGATAGAGTGAAGTTCCTTAAAGAGGGGATGGAGTGTAATGTGCTGACGTGGAACGACAAGGTGATCGACCTGGAGCTGCCCATCACGCTCAAAGTGAAGGTCGTGCAGACGGACCCGGGTGTCAAGGGCGACACCGCTGGCGGAGGTGAGGGGGTTAGGGGAGAGTGATACGGTGGGAATTGGGAAATGGGCGAGAAAGTGAGAGATCCTGGCGTATCTCCCTTGACGATCAGTGTAAAGGTCGTGCAGACCGACCCTGGCGTCAAGGTTGACACTGCTGGCGGAGGTGTGAGCATGAGGGGAGTGAGCGAGGTGAAGGGAGAGGTTGACGGGAATGTGGATTGGGGCGCCCAAATTGGAGGGACCATTTTATAGATGAGCACGGGAGGAGGGTGAGCATTATAACTTTGTTAATCCTCTTCTCTCCCCCATCCCCCCAACCCCACTCCGCGAGTCAATGCTCTTCCTTCCGCTGCTCTGCTCCCCCCGGGTCCCCATTACACTTGCATGAACAGGTGGTACCAAGCCGGCAATCATAGAGACGGGAGCTACAGTGTCTGTGCCACTATTCATTGAGGAAGGAGAAGCAATCACTGTAGATACCCGCACGGGCTCGTACATGGGACGGGCCTAAATCACACCCCTTTTACTTGGGTCCGATTATTTGTACAAGACATTTTCGCCAGTGAAGAGTAGCAAGCAGTTCTTAATGCCACGTGCTGGAGATCTGAGGCAGTTCTGGGTAGTTGTACATTCCGCACTGCCCTGTTTCAGTTGCTGCTGATTTACAAGACTCCTTATTTATAATGACTGTCTGCAAAATGCGGAATCTCTTCACGCTATGCGTATCAGCTCTAACATGTTGTATGCCTCGTTAGACCCTTTCTCATGAACTGCTAGCCTCCCACACACACCATGCACTCACACACACAATCCTAAATAGCTGCAAAGCTCTGCTTGGGTCAAGTCCGTTCCTCCAGTCACAACCTATACAAGACCCGCTGCTGCCAAAGCTGAAATACCAGTCAAGGACTGATTACATGGAAGATAGCTGTAGCGTCTTGCCAGATTGCCTTCCATTGACCCCGCTCCATATAATCATTCCTGCAGCCACCGCTACAATCACAGCTGCAGCAGGCCAACTCCACTGTACCCACGTCTTGAGGGCGTTTCCTGGTAGCTTCCCCAGCAGGCCCATAGCCTTGGCCACTTGCACTACTGCCGCCGCTGCTGCTACTAGCACAACAGGTGCAACCGCCTTAACAGCAGTGGGCGCAAGCTGGAACGCCCTATAGCTCTCACGTTCAGCTGCTGCTGGTTTCTGTGATGCAGCTGAAGGAGCTACAGAAGCTAGTGCAGGAGTGGTCTTTACGGCAGCAAGCTGCGTTTCCCTGGCAGAGGCACGGACGGTTGTGGCAGGTGCGTGGTGGTGCTGATGGGTGTGGCCGGACAGAGTCTCCTTGAGTGCAGATACGGTGTTGTGAGCGGTGGTGGTTACCAGATGGGATAGCTGCTGGGCTCTGTGGTGGGGGACGGACGAACGGGGAGAGGAGCAACTGGGAAGGGTTGGGAACAGTTGGATAGGGAGGGCAGAGGGCACCAGCGGGCAGGGAGGTCGCAACTACCAGCGGTGGTGGATACAAGTGGTGGTGGTTACAAGACGAGAGGGAGGGCAGGCGGGAGGGATAAGAGCAGGGAAGGGTGAGGAGCGAGAAAAGGGGGAGTACATAGGAAGACAGTTGGAGCATGGGTTGTCGTTGTGTGGTACGGTTGTGAATTGTGTCTTTTCTAGCGTGTGCGCACTCCTCTGCTCTCGTATGTGCACATGCAACCCAGCACGTACGGTTGGAGGGGCACATGTGTGCCCACGATCTGGTCAATCGTGTCGTTATCGATGAGACGGCAGTACGTCGTCGTGCATTCCTGCAGAAATTCCACCACGTTCCGCTCTACCTCCACGTGCCCGCCGCCCGTGCCGGCATCAGCAAACCGCAGCACCACCGTCCCGTCCGGGAGCTCTGGTGTTACGCGCGGCGAGGAATGCGGCGGGGTGGGAGAGGGCGAACAGTTGCAAGATATGCGATGCTCGGTAAGGAGAGGACAATACGCGAAAGTGATGGGATACGGGGTAAAGGAACATGGTGTTGAAGCAAAAATATGAAAGTCACTTTTCACCAAACCAGAGAAATAAACGTTTATGGCCCTTCTGGAAGAAATTTGTTTGCCTTTTCGCCGTTCTTGCACATTACGCGGCATTGCGCAGTCGATTTATAACGGCCGGAATCTCGCGTGCTGTCTGAAATCCTTCACACATATTCGTGAAGGTCCGAAGATAGAGATAAACAGTCACAATTAGATACTTAAATAAGTTAATGACTTTCCGTTTCACGTACCTTCCACCCGGTGAAGAATCGCCGCGGGATTTGCTCTGGCCGCCTTCGCGTGACCAGTTGCTACTGCGGCTCGCACTCCACGCCGCACGTGATGATTGGTCAGCACACCCTTGCTTGGCCCACGGCACGTGCTGCGTTGCGTCAGCGCCAGCCCTTGCATAGGGTTCCGAGAAGGCCTCACGCCGGTGCTGCTAACGCGTACAGTGCTTGCAGCGGTGGTGGTGTTGTGCGGGAGAGTGGATTGAACGGCAAAGCTCGAACTGGCAGCATGACACGTGGTCGACGCCATGGCGCGTCCTTATAGTTTATTCCTCCTGACAGACACACTCGCTAAAGCTGATAACCTGGAATTCTCAAGACTGCCTGCAGAGAAAATATGTCCACAACAAGGTCTTCAAGCTAGGTTTCGGTATCGTGAAATGTCAGTGTGAATGGTAGGATATATTTCGCTGTTGCTGTCTTTCCTGACCTAATAACCCTTGCCCAGAAAGCTCAATTGAGGACGACGTTCACATCTCGTGACGAGCAACTAATCGCGCGCGAATTGCGATTCGGCAATCTAAAATAGAATGGGGTGCTTTGGATTGATCGTTGGGCTTGAAAGAAAAAATTCCTACAATGCCCGTACATAAATATGGACTCTTGCCCTGCACTTTGCCGCCTAGCTGGCTGGTGCACCCTTGTTTTTTGCTGTCGAGCCGCGATGGCGTGTCGAACATTTTCCCGCGCAATCCTCTCCCAACGAGCGGGAAGTTCTGCCTGGGGCTTGCGCATGTGGATTGACGTGAGTCCGAGCTGGAGTCTTAACTGCCGCTTGAAGTTTCCTGATTTGCTGATTTCTAGCCGAGCGATTTCTGGGCACGTCATACCCGTGAGAGCTGACAAGATCCTGAACATTTTCAGAAATCGGATATAGAATATTCGCTGTATACAGACAACCCATAACGATTAGAGAAAGTAAGTAGACCGACGTGAGGTAAGAGCATCATTCAGTTGAATTTAAACAGTTCATTATGAATTCATTTATACAGTCATGAAAACCATGGCCACACTGTCGTGGCCGCTCCTCATCAGTCCAATAGCGCGGATTGAATGAGATACATCAATGTCGCCCCTCGAAACCTGAATCCCCTCACTGATGTGTCATTCTTTTGTCCCAGCTAGGTATTAGGTCGGAGTTATCGTGGCTACGAGGCATTCAGTACTGCATTTACACTTAGCTTCTCGTTCACCTTTTCTCTCAATATAGCGGTTTGTATATTTGCGGTTGGATCGATTCTTCTAGCGTCGTCAGTCTGCTTGCCATCCATTAGTTGTCCCGTACGATATGTTTTTGCCATTAGCCCGCTTTTTCAACATCTAAGTCGTCCTTCGCGAAAGACGACTAGATCAGACACCCATAGATTCGCTTACAAGGTGGTAACATCTCTTGCATCAGCTAGCCGCTGGCGGCAGCACTCGAGCCTCGCGCAGGCGGGCGTCGCTCGCCGTCGCCGCATCGCTGGGCGACGTCGCAGGCGATGAATTCGGAAGGCAGCATGGAAGGATCGTCGGCGGACGACAAGACTCCGCGCGGGCGCAACGTGGCCCACGCGCGCGGGGCCAACATGGGCGGAACGTTCCCCATGCGTAGCCCGGGGAAGGCGGGGGCAGGCGGAGGGCAACAGCAGCACCAACACCGGGATAAGAAAGGGCATCATCATTACCACCATTCTAAACATGTGCGATTCACTGCGCTGCATTTTAGGAACCAGTCGTTTGTCAGTTGCCATCTCGTCATTTGCCATCTGGAATCTGGACCGCGAGCGGGGCTCCAGGATTCTCTCAGACCAATGGTGCAACGATGTGTTTCGTAACCGATTTTTCGTCACCTGCCTATGCGTCTCCCTTGTGTCTGCGTCCCTAAATTAGGTTGCAATCGCTCTCTTTTCTTACACCTGCCTCAAATCCCGTCCCATCCCTTCACCACTTTCATCCCCTCCTCTCTCCCCCCCGTCCCCCACCCCCCTTCCCTTTGATTCCCCTCCCTTGCTTCCCCACTCCCACCCCTTCTCCCACACCCCTCTGTACCTCTCCCAGAATCTAGGCACGCTGCAGAAGCTGCTACCGTGGGTAACCATTGGGTTACTCTCCCTTATCGTCTTTTCACTTGCTTCCCTACCCCTCCTCTCGATTCCCCTTTGGCCCCGTTCCCCCTGCGCTCTCCATCCAAACCACCCAGAATCTAGGCACGCTGCAGAAGCTGCTACCTTGGATAACCATCGGGTTACTCTCCCTCATCGCCCTCGTCCTGCTGGGCTCCGCACTTTTCCCAGGGTAATTTCCCCTCCTCGTTGGGCACTTGCAATGTTTACCGTCATGCGATGCTTTTCTCCACGCATTGTTTCCCTCCCCAGCACTCAACTCTGCAACCCCAATTCCCCATGCCATTTCCCGGATATCCCTGATTCCCTGTGCCACCGCCCCACAAGGGTTTGATGCTTGTAACCCGGATTTTTGCCTGCTTCTTTCCCCTATTTTTCCCACCCACCTCATCCCCCTCCCACCCCAGCTACATCTTCATGTGTCCCGAGACCATCAAGCCATTACCAGAGCACCGTGGGAATCTCAAGAGCAACTCAGCCCAGGGCTTGACTGCTTCCACTCTCCCTCTCCCACCCCTCCCGCCTCCCCCTCCTCCCCCAGTTACATCTTCATGTGTCCAGAGACCATTAAGCGGTTACCAGAGCACTGTGTGAAGCTCGAGAGTGACCCCGTGCAGCACGACTGGGTCTCCGCCGTCCTCCCCTTTGACTGCCTGCAAGCTCCCCAGTCCTCCCCCGTCATCGCCCACCGAGTAGACGACGTCAAGTATGACTTCTTCCTGTCTCTGCTGGACTTCCCAATTTCTCCCCTTCCCTTTCCCCCCCTCTCTTCCTTCCCCCCTCCCTCCCCCTCCCCCCTTCCGCTCCCCCCTCCCCCGCACCCCCCCGCACCCCCCCACAGCTACATCTTCATGTGTCCAGAGACCATTAAGCGGTTACCAGAGCACTGTGTGAAGCTCGAGAGCGACCCCGTGCAGCACGACTGGGTCTCCGCCGTCCTCCCCTTTGACTGCTTCCAAGCGCCCCAGTCCTCCCCTGTCATCGCCCACCGGGTGGACGACGTCAAGTATGACTTCTTTTTATCGTTGCTGGACTTTGGAACGAGGAGACGGCCGAATAGGAATATGGTTCGGCTGATGGAGGACCGGCCGTTCCTGAAGCCGGAGCTCGCTGTGGCCATGCAGGTACGGAGGGGTTCGGGAATGCGGGTATGGGGAGGGGTTTGGGAATGCGGGTATGGGGAGGGGTTTGGGAATGCGGGTATGGGAAGGTTTGGAAGGGTACGGAGAGGTTTGGCAATGCAGGGATGGAGAGATTTGGCCATGAAGCTATGAAAAAATATATTGATCTTGGCAAGTGGACTGCTGTTTGAGGAGATGTTGCGTGGCTTTCTCTTTATAAGAAAGTGCAGCTTGCCTAGTGTGCGACCCTAGGCTCCCTCCCTTCGTCCCCTTTCACCGCAATATCCCCGTCCCCACCATCCACCTCTCTTCCCCCCCTTCTTCAGTCGGTACTCGAAATGCTTATTGAGGCCAAGGCCGTTCGCCCCGACTCCCTAGTCATTGACGCGGGGGCGGGCATAGGGGGAGCAGCCTTTGCAGCAGCAGCTATGGGTGTGCGCGTGTTGGCGCTCGACCCTGTGCTGGCGAACGTGCTCAAGATGTGCGACGCGGTGCATTTGAACCGTGTGTCGAAGCGCGTGAAACTTCACCTGGCTGCTGTCTCGGACAGCGTGGGCAACATCACCATTCACAATGTAAGTTTGTGAACCCGCACCGACATGATCATAAGGTAAGGTTTGGGCGTGCGCATGTTGGCGCTGGACCCTGTTCTGGCGAACGTGCTCAACATGTGTGATGCGGTGCATTTGAACCGTGAGGCAAAGAGAATGAAGCTGCACCTCGCTGCTGTCTCGGACAGTGTGGGCAACATCACGATTCACAGTGTGAGTGTCTGAGCCAGCATGAGCACTCACAAAGTGATTAAGCCTCTGACGAGCAGGGCTCGACTCTGTGCTGGCCAACGTGCTCAAGATGTGTGATGCGGTGCATTCGATTTTACCTTGCTGCTGTTCAGACACTACAGGCAGCATAACCATCCACAACGTGAGTCTGTGAACCAAACAGCACCATTCGTAACACTAGTCTGTTGATGAGATTCAACCTGTGCCGGCTAATGATGCGGAGGTGGTGTCGGCCTAAAAGTCACCCAAAAGTCTCACATCTTGCGGGAGATGTGCGACTTTGGGTTGCCTCCAACGCCACCTACCCTGCACCACTTTTGAGTCGACTCAAAAGTCAACTCGCGAGATGTGTGACTTTGGGTTGCCTCCAACGCCACCTACCCTGCACCACCCCTCCCTTTCCGTTGCCCCTCCCACCCAACCATGATCAGGTCATATCCAACCATGATCAGGTCATATCCAACCATGATCAGGTCATATCCAACCATGATCAGATCGTACACATTGTTGTGGTAGCAGCAGTGCTCCATCTTCCTTGTTCCTTGCATCTTCCATCACAGACATCTCTCGCCCACCTGTTCCCCCATCATCCCTCCCCACCCACCCACACACTGTCAGATCCTATCCAATCTTGAGCACAGTGCAGTGACAGCAGCAGTGCTTACCCTCGCATCAAAAGATGCCCCTGTCATTCCCACCACAGTGGAATCCCTCCCTATAGACTCCCTCGTTTTACCAGACCAGCATGTAGCTGTACTGAAGGTGACTGTACAGGGATGGGAGCTGCATGCATTTAGGGGTGCTGCTGGGTTGCTCAGCCGCCCGCCAAAGGAGGCACCGTTTGTCCTTTATGAAGAAGACAGGATGTTGTTGCGGGCTGGGAACACGACGCCGGCTGCTGTGAGGGGGTTTCTGGCGGGGTATGGCTATAGTGAGTGTGACCAAGCACATGGGCTTGTGCACTGTAGGAAAAAGGGTTCTTTGCTAGACGCATAAAGTACAAATGTGGTCAATACTGTGTATTGTAGCCAGTAATTGGTTTGGGTGACAAATGCTATTTTTAGGAGGTGCCATACTGTATATGAATACACTTACCAATATTATCGGTACTTTTCTGGGTGTGTGCTCCATGGTACCTGAATGTGGACTGGAGCAGTAGCATACTCTAACAAACATTCCAGATTTCAGCTGTAGTTTTGGGGTGATTCCAGATATGTCCAGCCTACAGGGTTTTGTGGGTGTGCGTGAGCTTTTATGTTGCCATCATCCCAGCGTGGGGGTCGTGTGAGGTTCTGGATATGTGTTGATGGGCTCGTAACTCGTTTATCTCATCTAGTTGTTTTTCCAGCGAATGCGCATGGTTTGTCATATTAATTCAAGGAGGTCCAACCTTCGTTCTAACGAGTATGGTTGACTCGTCTCATCCTCCTTCCTACCCACCACCCTTGCTCGTTCCAACAAACACGAAGGCTATACTTTTGGCAAAGCCGTTACCGACGAGCTAGGCCTGCCCTCGGGTTTGTTGGTGGTGGTGAGATTCACCTGAGATGTTTCTGCTGCCCGACAATGACTTCAAGGAAGGGCTCTCCTCGAATCTTTCAGGGTCAGATGTTTTGAAACCGTCGCTCCAATACTTGTGCAATTCCTTATCATCCCATTGGTCTCCAACGACTGTCTGTTATTTCGCTCGCTGCAAACAGTTCCCTCGAGCTTCTGTCAGGGCAGGGGGGGATGCTTGGGTTGCATTGCGGTTGGAAACTACGTTTGAATCCCGCCCAGAAGCAACCAGCAAAATCGACGTTGTCCGCTTTGGCATGACGCAATCCGCCAATCTAATCATGGTCAATAAACGCCAGTGTGCCCTCCCCGTCAACAGTTGCTATCTGTCAACACGTTACGTCGCGACAGTGACCAACGTCCACTCTCAACTACTCACGACAGATTGCCAGCTGGAGTGCAGTGAAAGCAACCAGCTCAGTATGGTAACCAGCTTTGGCTTTTTTAACAACCATTAGCAAGGCCGCTATTTTTGTTGCAAGGCTACCCTATCGACAAGCACAAGCACCAGAAGCAGAAATTGAGTGATCGATGATAAGGGCGTGTAAAATTGTTACGACCAAACGCTATGGTCGATTATTGGGGCGTTTCTGGCGTTGTCCGCATGTTGTTTCACAGGGTCCGAGCACACATGTGGTTTCACAGCACAAACGTCGTTGCGGATTTTCGGCCACATCGACCCCATACGAAAAGCATACGGGAATCCATCCCCATAAATTCTCCATTGTTCGGCAAAAACGACGAACGGCCTTTGACAGAGCCGACCTCAACAAAATCTCGAGGTATGATCGCCTGAATTTTCTATCTTCCTCACGTGCTCGGGCATCAGCAATCACAAGAACAGCAGAAAGGATAACGCGGGGTTTGAACTGACCTGACCACGCTTCGGTCTTATCAGAATTGATGGCTCGAGTCAGCAGCGCTGCTCCTCCAATTTCCCGCTCCGCATGCAAGCACAGCTGCGCCACAAATTCCTCCCCCTCCTAAGCATTTTCCCCACGCCGCAAATCTTCGGCATTTTCCACCTCAAAATCCCTCCGCCGCGATTTTCACCTGGAAAAAATCCTCCGCATCGCACTCACCACCCTTGGATCCGCATTTTCCCCACTGCACTTCACCCGCCACTTCCATCCTTCCGTTACGTCTTTATGTCCTTCTGGCATTCCCTGCCAACACACATTTGATGGTCGTTTTCGCCTCTGTATACACATGACTCTGACGGCGACAACCTAACGCGTGAATTTTGTTTTTGCGATCGAGATAGCTCAATCACAGTAACGACGCGTGATTTCGTTCTTCCATTGCAGTGATTCCAGGCTTAGGAATTTGGAAGCCACGGCTTCTAACAAAATCGTTTTTTTCTCGAAGCCGACACTGGAGCACGATTGCGAGTTGGGCCAAAGAACAGAGGTATTGTCATGGCGCGGCCAAACGATCCGAGACATCAATTCGCGCATTTCGGAATCGGCGAGCTGCTTTCTCGAATGTCAGAAAACGTTACAGAAAGTGACGCGGGCGCATCCGCCGCGCTCGCCTCCTCCGGGGCCGCGAGGCGCATCGCGGTGCGGCTGCTCATCGGAGCCGGCGGAAGCGGCAATCTTGGAGGAAAGTTGAGCGGAAGCGGCGGAAGCGGAAACGTCGCAGCACTTTCCGGTCCCGTAGGGGCAACTAGTGGGGTTACCAGCATTGCCAACAGCAGGCGTGGCGAAAGATCCATCGCTAGCGAAACCCCCGCCGCGGGCTGCGGAAGCCCAGACAGCCTCGCGGGATGGGTATCGAGTCCAAAAGATCCCCGCAGGAGGCTTTCGCAGAAGTCTGTTTCTGAGAGCTCGGAGCGCGGCGCGTCTTCCGGGAAGAATGGAAGGAAAGGCCAGGCGAGCGCGTGGGAACAATGCGACGACCTGATGGTTGATTGGCTGGGCTCCGTGGAGGAATGTGGATCCTCGGACGAAGCTGGCGGAGCGGCTGGGGGCGCTGCGCAAGTCGCCGCTCCGCGGCGTGGCGCGCAGAGCGCGCAGGAAGAGGGCCGAGCGGGAGCCCGCGGGGCTCCGGGGGTGCAGGACGAGCGCGAGAGGCAGCGGGAGCGGAGCGGGTTGGACCGGCGGAACTTATTATCCATCCCTCGCGTCTGCTCCGATGAGATCGCGCCGCGCCACCTTTCTCGCACGAACAGCTGTATCGATCATCCGCGGCCGGTCACGGCGCAGCGGGAGAAGCCGCGCAGCAGTTTTGACGGAGAGCGGGAGCGCGAGAGGGAGGCGGAGCGGGAGGAGAGGGGGCGAGTGAAGGGCGGAACGCGCAGAGGGGGAAGCGCAGCGGCGAACGCGAAGGGGGAGAGCGGAAATTTGTCGCGAACGTCCAGCTGTATGTCGGTTGGCGGCGACGAAGTTCGGCGACTGGAGAACGAAATCGCGGTCTTGCGGCGGCAGCTGGTAACTGTCGGCCAAGCCAAGACCGCCTTTGGCAATGCCGGTTCGGCAAGTGGCTCGGGCCAAGCCAGACCGTGCCAGCATTCCGGGCCTCAGGCCGAGGCTCGGTCACCAGAATGGCAGAGCATCGCGATGGAGGTGGTGGAACTAAGGGGTCAGCTGGACGAGTTGTCCGAAGCTAACGGACGCTTAACGGAGCTGCTTGAAAGGAGGACGCAGGAGCTGGTCGCGACAAAAGAGGAGCTGATAACGGCCAAGGAGGAGCGCGACGCGCTGGCCAAAGAAATGGAGGCGCTGCTCGAGTCCCTGTCAGCATCGCCGCCTGCTGACGTGGCAAATACAGGCATGAGCGCCTTGCAGCAGCAACAGCAGCAGCAGAGGGTGCAGCAGGCGGAAGAGGAGGCACGGCAGCTGCAGGTACTACTCGAAACGGCCATGGCGGAGAGAGACATGGCTGTGCGCCTTGCTGCCGCCACAGGGAGACTCCCTGCGGGGCTCATTCCATCTACCAGCGTTGGCAGCATCGCCCGTTCATCCAGTGAAGAGCCGTCGCCTCGGCTGCGTTTCACTCCCCTGGACGTCCGCTTCCGCACGTCAACCCTCAACTCCCGCTCCAATTCCCCCTCGCCGGCTACTTCCTCCTCCCCCATGCTCCCCTTTTCCCCTTCCATGAACTCCTACTCTCCCTCCGCCTCATTCTCGCCTTCTGCCGCCTCCTTCTCGCCCTCCTCTTTCTCCCCCTCCAGCTCTCTTACAAACTCCCCCTCATGTCTGTCTCCCGCCGGCCGCCCGAGTGCGTACGCACCATCGCCGTTCCGCTCACACAGCGAATCCAGTTCGGGCAACCGTGTTGACACCATAGCCAAGTCGTGGCTTGGCGCCGAGCCTGCAGGGAAGCCTCGGCACGGGATGATGAGGAGCTCGAGTCGGGGCCTGGTGACGTCAGCCATACCAAGCATGGACCCTGGTAGTCCCTCTGTTAATGCTGGATGGAGGGGAGCGGCGAGCGGGGAGGTGCATGTGGGGAAGGGGCACCTGAGGCGGACTTCAACTGCAGGAGGTGCCATTGAGGCGAGGCGTGTGTGGGAATCGCGATCGCCCATTTCGATGAGCCGACCCGGAAGTGCCGATATAGGTGCGCTGCAACAAGGGGCGGAGCATGCTGTGGGGAGCAAGGCTGAGGATAAAGGGGCGAAGAAAGGGGGACTGAAAGGCATACTTTCACGCAAGTCTAAGCAAGTGAGATGGTCGTATGACTTCGACCAGGAAGGCGGTTTGTGAATAAAAGCTCAGGAAGCGTGACAAAGGTCATGGTTCCTATACCTTTTTGGCGGCTGCACACAAGAGATGCAGCTGCTTTGATATCCTGACTCCTGTACCATATATTCGTTTGTTTGTTTACTGATGATTTCATTAATTTGTTTTTACACAGTTTCTATACATGCTGTGGACGAAGACTTGTTGATGCGTGTATCCAAAGGCAATTCCCCTATAGCGAACACTCTACACGGTTCTCTCCATTTTCGACCTCCAACGAAATCGCAAGGGGGAAATCAAGCGGTCAGGCCAGCATCACTGACGTGTCAACTTCTCGCGCAGACGTCACATCCTAGTCAGGCCATGCTGGATCCAAGCTTCCCCTAAAACAAAGCGCTTCGGAGGAAGAGGTCAAACTTCGAGGTTAGCTATGTATGTCGTAAGAATTTACTCCTTCGTTTGAACTTCGCGAACCAGCCTCGTGTAACTTGTTTCCTATGTGCAGCAATATTCGCGAATTCACAAGCAAGGCAGTGCACCATTGTATCCCCATTTGCGATCTTCTCGCCCAACATCCTCAACTTTTCGCCTGTCAGTTGATTCTTGTAGCATGCATCTGGGCAACAATCCCCACCATGAGACCAAAAGCTCCGCGCTGGGCATCTGTATCCGCAGTATTACATTCCGTCTCGTTCCCTCCGCCTCCCTCGCTTCGTCTGACCCGCTTCGCCTGCTCAACCGTTTCGCATGCGCCAGTGGTTGCGCTGCGCTTGCGAGTCACTTGGAGTTGCCAGATTTGCACAGATTCTTCGCGCGGGTCACCATTGAGAAAATTCGCGAAGTTTGTTACAGGCGACGCGTGCGAAGTCATTCGCAGCTGCCAGACCGATAAGCGCTAGGCTTCCAGTGCGCCATGATTCTATGGGTGCTTCAAGCTCGAGCCGCGAGCGCACGGGCTCGCGTACTCGCGACGCGTTCATGGTTCGGAGTTCCGGTTCCGCCCAGAGGCGCGGGAGTCTTTCCGCGGTCGTCTCGGTTCCGCGCATCCCATCACTCGCCCGCCTCCGCGTCGCCGCCCTCCGCGGGATTTGCGATGCCCCAGGCGACCCTTGCCGCCGGGTTGGGCAGTGCTTCCGCCACTGCTGCTCCCGCCTCACGCGCATGCCCCTCCGCCGCCGCCTTCTCCGCCATCCCCGCTTCCGCCCGTTTCTCCACCGTCACTCGCGCCCCTTCCGCTGCCTTCTCGCCTGCTGACGCATTCTCCTCCGCCGCCACTGCCCCCGCCGTTTCCTCCGCGTCCCCCGCTTCCACCTCGTCCGCCGGCGCTTCCGCCGCTCCCCGCGCCCCCCCCGCCCTCGTGCCCATCTCGACAGTCCTCGTGGCAAATCGCGGCGAGATCGCGTGTCGCGTGATGCGCACTCTAAAGCGCCTCGCGATTCGCTCAGTGGCCGTGTACAGTGATGCGGACCGCGACGCGCTCCACGTGCGATCCGCTGACGTGGCGTTCCGCGTGGGGCCCGCCCCGGCGCGAGAGAGCTACCTGCGGGGCGACGCGATCCTGGAGATTGCAGAGCGATGCGGGGCGCAGGTGAGTTGTTGGAGAGGGGAGAGGGATGGGGGCATGTGAGTTGGTGGGGAGAGGAGGGGGATTCAGGTGCGTTTGGGGGAGGAAGAGAGGGTGTCTCTCAAGGCCATCCATTCACCCCATGTCATGCATACCCCTCGTGGTGAGGGCTTTCTCTCGGGAAGTGACTTTTGAGTCAACTCGAAAGAGTCGTGTGCAATTGTAACGAGGTGACTTTTGAGTCGACTCAAAAGAGTCGTGTGCAATTGTAACGAGGTGACTTTTGAGTCGACTCAAAAGAGTCGTGTGCAATTGTAACGAGGTGACTTTTGAGTCGACTCAAAAGAGTCGTGTGCAATTGTAACGAGGTGACTTTTGAGTCGACTCAAAAGTCACCCCTCGTGGTGAGGGCTTTCTCTCGGGAAGCGAGCGCGGCGTTTGCTGCTTCTAGGTGTGTTTTGAGTCGACTCAAAACACAAGTGAGCGCGGCGTTTGCTGCTTCTGACCCCAAGGCCTTCCATACCTCATGCATCCCCCCTCTCCCCTCTCCTCGCTCCTCTCCCCTCTTCCCACCCCCTCTCCCCCCCCTCTCTCTCGCCCGGTCCCCACCCCTATCAGGCCATTCACCCCGGCTATGGTTTTCTCTCCGAGAATGCTGACTTCGCTGCAGCGTGCAAACAGAGGGGCGTTGACTCCATTGACTCTCCCCCGCCCTCTCTCCCGCCTCCTACTCTCCCCCCTCTTCCCACCCCTATCAGGCCATTCACCCCGGCTATGGTTTTCTCTCCGAGAATGCTGACTTCGCTGCAGCGTGCAAACAGAGAGGACTGGAATTCATTGGGCCGCCGCCAAGTGCTATCCGGGCGATGGGGGACAAAAGGTGATCATAGGACGTGCTTGTAATGAGTGTAAGCCATTGCCTGCAGACAGAGGGGCGTAGAGTTCATCGGGCCGCCGCCAAGTGCTATCCGGGCCATGGGGGACAAAAGGTGACTATAACGAAGGACTGTAGTGAGTTTGCTTGTACTCGAAGAATCGTCAGCCTCCCAGAGAGCGGTGTGTTTTTAGTGAATGGGGTATTGGATGTGCTTGTACTGAGTGTGATTTGAATGTGCTTATACTGAGTTCTACTGCGACCATTCCATGTCTCCACTCTCCAAAATCCCCCCTTCCGTGCCCCCCTCCTCCTTCCCTTTTGCTCGGGTCCCCCAAACCCCCCCTTCCGCCCTTCCCCGCCCTTCACGCCCTCCAGTGCGGCCAAGGAGCTGATGACGTCAGCAGGGGTGCCGGTGGTCCCGGGGTACCACGGCGAGGACCAATCAGAGCGCTTCCTGCAGGAGGAGGCGGGGCGGATCGGATACCCCATTCTGATCAAGGCCACTCAGGGGGGCGGGGGCAAGGGCATGCGCATAGTGCGTCAGCCTCAGGACTTCCTCGCCAGCCTGGCGAGTGCAGCGAGGGAGGCGGCAGCATCGTTTGGCAATGGACGGGTGCTGCTGGAGCGATACATTCAGAGGCCCAGGCACATTGAAGTGCAGGTGGGTACGGTGATAGGTTCGGTGGATCTGGTACGGTGGCTCAGGTTCGATGACTCAGGTTCGATGACTCAGGTTCGATGACTCAGGTTCGATGACTCAGGTTCGATGACTCAGGTTCGATGACTCAGGTTGCCGACAGCCTGGCGGCGTGGTGCTCGGGTGTGAGAGGGACTGCAGCTGGTGCACGTGACCATATGGATGCCTTGTCGTTTTGTTGCCCTTCCTTCCCTCCATTTTCCCTTCCTCTCTACCCTCTCCACTCACAGGTGTTTGCAGACAAGCACGGCGATGTGGTGCATCTGTTCGAGAGGGACTGCAGTGGTCTCTGTGCCTTCCCTCTCTCTGCGTTCATCTCTCTCTCCCCTCCCCTCTCTCCCCTCCCCTCTCTCCCCTCCCCTCTCTCCCCTCCCCTCTCTACCACCACAGGTATTCGCAGACAAGCACAGCAATGTGGTGCATCTGTTCGAGAGGGACTGCAGCGTGCAGCGGCGGCACCAGAAGATCATCGAAGAGGCTCCCGCTGTAAGCTCGCACACAGGCAGCACCCACACGTGTAGGCTCTCACCTATTCAGCACGCACATACGCGCCCGCACATAAGAGCTCTTGATTGCGCTGCAGCACGAGGAGAGACTGCAGCGTGCAGCGGCGCAGTCCCTCTCCTCGTGCTGCAGTCCCTCTCAAACAGATGCACCAGAAGATCATCGAGGAGGCGCCCGCTGTAAGCACACATCCGCTTCTCTCATACTAGCAGGGCTGTACTCGTGGGTAGGCCGTTTAAACGGCAGGAGCACGCCTTGTGTCAAGCCTAAAAACACTCAATTCTCTGGTTTTGAGGCGCCTCAAAACTAGAAATCTGCACGGAAGTGGATTGCACAAAGCACGCCTTGTGTCAAGCCTAAAAACACTCAGTTCTCTACACGGAAGTGGATTTCACAGCACAAAGCACGTCTTGTGCACAAAAGGCCGTTGTTGCAAGTAGTGATTCTCAGCGCCCCCAATCCGCCCCTCCCCGCCCTATACCTAGCACCTCAGTCTTTGGAGAGAAATATCGAGGGCACCATTCCTCCAAAGACTGAGGTGCTATCAGTCTTTGGGCACCATTCCTCCAAAGACTGAGGTGCTATCAGTCTTTGGGCACCATTCCTTCGACTGGTCATGTTTTACACCATGTGGTTCTTATTCGGGCAGCTAATGGTTCTTGTCGTTCTTATTCGGGCAGCTGGTGGTTCTTGTCGTTCTTATTCGGGCAGCTGAAGATTTGCTCCGCTGCTGTTGACGCTGCTTTTGAGGCGCCTCAAAAGCCTTCCCCTTCCCCAATGCCTTCCCCCCTTATTGCACGTGCTGCCCTACCAGCCGGGCATATCTGAGGAGTTTAGGGAGAAGATCTGCTCCGCTGCTGTTGACGCTGCCAAGGTGGGGTGGGGGGGGGGGGGGGGGGGGGGGGTGGGGTGTGGAAAAGAGAGTGAGGCAGGGAGAGGGGTTTGGGGAGAGAGTGGGGCAAAAGGGGTAGGGGTGGATAAGCAGAGAAGGGAGTTTAGGGTGACTTTTGAGTCGACTCAAAAGTCGCAACAGGGGTAGGGGGGGTTTTATCTCAAAACAGAGAAGGGAGTTTAGGGAGAAGTTTTTCTCCGCTGCTGTTGACGATGCCACGGTGGGGTGGGGGGGAAAGAGTGGGGGACCGGGGAAAGGGGGAATAGGGGGACAGGCGGGGGAGGGGGGAGGGGGAGTCAGGGAGTTCGGGGAGACGTTCTGCTCCACTGCTGTGTGCTTGGGCTTTTGTCACGCTTACGTCACCCTTCCATCCCTCTCCTGGTGCGTGCTTGTGTGCAGGCGGTGGGGTACGAGGGGGCAGGTACGGTGGAGTTCATAATCGACTGTGACACTAACGAGTTCTTCTTTATGGAGATGAACACAAGGCTGCAGGTGAGTGCACCCACCACACCCTCGCCTCTGCAGGTGACGAGCTTGTCTTCTTTAGCCTTGCCTCTCGTTTCCTGGACCGCTCAGACGCGGGTCAGCTGGTGGTGTCAGCGCCTGGACGGCTCAGACGCGGCTTGCCTCAGTACATGCGCTCAGATGCCTCGTTGTGTTGTTCGGTGCTGAGCCCATGTTGTTCGGTGCTGAGCCCATGTTGTTCGGTGCTGAGCCCATGTTGTTCGGTGCTGAGCCCATGTTGTTCGGTGCTGAGCCCATGTTGTTCGGTGCTGAGCCCATGTTGTTCGGTGCTGAGCCCATGTTGTTCGGTGCTGAGCCCATGTTGTTCGGTGCTGAGCCCATGTTGTTCGGTGCTGAGCCCATGTTGTTCGGTGCTGAGCCCATGTTGTTCGGTGCTGAGCCCATGTTGTTGCCCTGTTCTCACAGGCTCTCTTCCCCTCTCATCCTCCATCATCCCCCCCCTCCAAATGGAGCACCCAGTAACGGAGATGGTAACAGGGCAAGATCTAGTAGAATGGCAGGTGCGCGTGGCACGAGGGGAGCGCGAGGTGCGCTTGCCCAGGGGGACCTTCATCTCACTCTTATCCTCCTCATCTGCTCCCCTCACAGGTGGAGCACCCAGTGACAGAGATGGTGACAGGACAGGACCTCGTGGAGTGGCAGGTGCGCGTGGCGCGGGGGGAGCCCCTCCCCCTCGCCCAGGGGGGCCTCACCCTCACAGGCCACGCCTTTGAGTGTCAACCCTACATCATTCCCCTACCCTGCCCTTCGCTCTCCCCTTCACCGCAGGTGGAGCATCCAGTAACGGAGATGGTGACAGGACAGGATCTAGTGGAGTGGCAGGTGCGCGTGGCACAAGGGGAGCCCCTCCCGCTCGCTCAGGGGGACCTGAAGCTAACAGGGCATGCCTTTGAGGCGCGGGTCTACGCTGAGAACGTTCCCAGAGGCTTCCTGCCGGCTGCTGGCCCGCTGCTGCACCTGCGCACTCCGGAACCCTCTGCTTGCGGTGAGAACGATTGTAACGAGGGGGTGTGGTGACTGTGATTGTAATGAATGAATTTGAGGTGGCTGTGCTATCATTCATCCCCTCCCCCCATCCCCCTGTTCCCGTTTCCCCCTGTCCCCTTTTTCCCCCTTCACCTCTCGCCCCCTCTCAGTCCGGGTCGAGACGGGGGTGCAGGAGGGCGATGACGTCAGCACCTTCTACGACCCAATGATAGCCAAGCTGGTGGTGTCAGCGGCCAATCGCAGCGCGGCGCTGCAGCTGCTGCGGCAATCCCTGGGGCGGTACGAGGTGGCGGGCGTGCCGACCAATCTCGCGCTGCTCCAGGCTGTCGCGTGCCACGCGGGATTCGAGCGTGCTGACGTGGACACGCACTTCATTCAGCGCCACCACGACCAGCTGATGACGTCACCAGTGACGTCACCGGCAGCAGGGGGAGTGGTGGGATCAGGGAAGGCAGGAGAAGCAGCAGGGGGAGGAGCGGAGAGGGCCGGGGATGGGGTGTTGCCTCTAAGTGGGGCAGAGGGCGCAGCAGTGGCAGCAATGGTGTGTCAATGTGTGGTGGAGAGATGGAGGGAGCAGGGCCGTGGTGGCTTTTCACCGTCCTCCCCCCATTCCCCCTCTTCCCCCTCTCTCCCCCCTTCCCCCTGGTCGTCCGCCTCTGGGTTCCGCCCCAACTACTTCTATTCCCGCCCCTTCGCCCTCTCCACCTGCCTGGGGGGAGGGGAGGGCGCGGAAGGGGAGGGGGACGAGGGGGAAGATGGGGAGGAGGCGGAGGCTGGGGAAGGGGGGGCGGAGAAGGGGGCGGAGGAAGCGGGCAGGCAAGGGGCGGTGGAGGGGTGGGTGAGGTATGAGACGGATGGGGGCTTCACGGTTGGGCTGGCGGATGGGAGACACGTGGCAGCCTCTGGTTGGGTGGTGGATGGGGAGGGCCGGCGGGTGGAGGTGGAGGTGGGGGGGGAGAGGAGCCGCTTGTCGTTCTTCCAAGAGAGCACGGTGAGATGAGGGGGTGGGGAGGGGTTGTATGGGGTAGGGAATAAGGGGCTGGGGAGATGGGGGGTTGATGGGTGGAATATGTGAGGGGGGGGAGAGGACGCGGGTGTCGTTCTTCCAAGAGAGCACAGTGAGATGAGGGGGTGGTGAGGTGAGCATGGTGAGATGGGTGGGTTGGGGCAGAATGGGGAGAAGGGGAACCCTCTGAATGGCTACCCTCAATGTGAGGTCCCACGGGCTACCCCTTCTGAATGGCTACCCTGCTACCCTTCTGAATGGCTACCCTGCTACCCTTCTGAATGGCTACCCTGCTACCCTTCTGAATGGCTACCCTGCTACCCTTCTGAATGGCTACCTTGCTACCCTTCTGAATGGCTACCCTGCTACCCTTCTGAATGGCTACCCTGCTACCCTTCTGAATGGCTACCCTGCTACCCTTCTGAATGGCTACCCTGCTACCCTTCTGAATGGCTACCCTGCTACCCTTCTGAATGGCTACCCTGCTACCCTTCTGAATGGCTACCCTGCTACCCTTCTGAATGGCTACCCTGCTACCCTTCTGAATGGCTACCCTGCTACCCTTCTGAATGGCTACCCTGCTACCCTTCTGAATGGCTACCCTGCTACCCTTCTGAATGGCTACCCTGCTACCCTTCTGAATGGCTACCCTGCTACCCTTCTGAATGGCTACCCTGCTACCCTTCTGAATGGCTACCCTGCTACCCTTCTGAATGGCTACCCTGCTACCCTTCTGAATGGCTACCCTGCTACCCTTCTGAATGGCTACCCTGCTACCCTTCTGAATGGCTACCCTGCTACCCTTCTGAATGGCTACCCTGCTACCCTTCTGAATGGCTACCCTGCTACCCTTCTGAATGGCTACCCTGCTACCCTTCTGAATGGCTACCCTGCTACCCTTCTGAATGGCTACCCTGCTACCCTTCTGAATGGCTACCCTGCTACCCTTCTGAATGGCTACCCTGCTACCCTTCTGAATGGCTACCCTGCTACCCTTCTGAATGGCTACCCTGCTACCCTTCTGAATGGCTACCCTGCTACCCTTCTGAATGGCTACCCTGCTACCCTTCTGAATGGCTACCCTGCTACCCTTCTGAATGGCTACCCTGCTACCCTTCTGAATGGCTACCCTGCTACCCTTCTGAATGGCTACCCTGCTACCCTTCTGAATGGCTACCCTGCTACCCTTCTGAATGGCTACCCTGCTACCCTTCTGAATGGCTACCCTGCTACCCTTCTGAATGGCTACCCTGCTACCCTTCTGAATGGCTACCCTGCTACCCTTCTGAATGGCTACCCTGCTACCCTTCTGAATGGCTACCCTGCTACCCTTCTGAATGGCTACCCTGCTACCCTTCTGAATGGCTACCCTGCTACCCTTCTGAATGGCTACCCTGCTACCCTTCTGAATGGCTACCCTGCTACCCTTCTGAATGGCTACCCTGCTACCCTTCTGAATGGCTACCCTGCTACCCTTCTGAATGGCTACCCTGCTACCCTTCTGAATGGCTACCCTGCTACCCTTCTGAATGGCTACCCTGCTACCCTTCTGAATGGCTACCCTGCTACCCTTCTGAATGGCTACCCTGCTACCCTTCTGAATGGCCCCACATTCTCACCCCTTCCTCTTCTTCCACTCTATCTTCATGGCCAGCGCAACCCCACATCCCTCCCCTTTTTCCACCCCCTTATACCCCCGCCCTCCGCCCATCAGCCGGACAGCATCACCACCCACGTGTGGGTGAACGGTCACCACCACCAGTTCGCCTCTCCATGCCCTTCCATCGCCCCCTTCCCCATCCTCACCCTTCCAACCCCCCACCCTCCACACCCCCACCCTCCGCCCATCAGCGTGACAGCACTCATACCCACGTGTGGGTGAATGGACACCACCACCAGTTCGCCTCGCCCTGCCCCTCCATCGCCCCCTTCCCCCTCGATGATCATGATGACTATGATGATCATGCCCATACTTATGGGCATGCCCATGAGCATGCCCATGGGCATGCACATGGGAGGGGCGTGGTGGTAACGCCGATGGCGGGGAGGGTGGTGCGGGTGGCATGTGGGGAGGGCGCATCTGTGCGCAAGGGGGACGTGGTGGTGATTCTCGAGTCCATGAAGATGGAGGTGAGTTGCGCAGAGAGGTGATGAGAGGTAATGTGTGGTGATGTGTGGTGATGTGTGGTAATACTTGAGTCCTGAAGATGGAGGTGAGACCTTTACTCTGATGTGTCTTCATTCTTTGCACGATGAGTTCACCTGTGGCGTGTTACACTTCCCCTACCCAACCGCCCACTTCCGTATTCTCAGAATGTCATATCATCCCTCATCTCAACTCCACGAATCTCCCACCCCATTATTTCACCCCCTTCCTCCCTCCACCTCCTCACCCATCCCACCTGCCACCCCTGTTCTCCGCGCGAGCAGCATTCAGTGAAGGCACGTCAGTCAGGCGTATTGGCTGAAGTGAGAGTGGCAGTGGGGCAGCAGGTGGCAGATGGGATGCCTCTCTTCCGCGTGGTGCCGCCAGAACAAGCAGCATCAGCCTAGCCGTGCTGCTGCCAGTAGTGGGCACTGGGCACGGCCTGGAGGAGGGGTGGGTGGAGGAGGGAAGGGAAGGGGCGGTGGGGCAGCAGGTGGCAGATGGGATGCCTCTCTTCCGCGTGCTGCCCCCACAGCAAGCAGCATCGCCCTAGCCTTGCTGCTGCCAGGGGTAGGCACTGCCTGGAGGAGGAGTAGGTGGGGGACGGAAGGGGCAGTGGGGCAGCAGGTGGACGAAAGCATGCCTCTCTTCCACGTGCTTCCACCCCACCCCAGCAAGTGGAGTGGGTGAGGTGGGAGTGGGTGGCAGGGGGGCAACACGTGCCACACAGCGTGCCTCTCTTAAAGGTGTTGCCACAAGTGGTGGTTTCCTCGCTCTTGCCTCTTTGCCCCTACAGTGGTTAGTGGAGTTGGCACGGTGGGGGATGGTGGGTCGTGGTTCAGTAGTTTGCCGATGGCATCCTGCTCCCCTAGTATCCCCCCATTGTAACTCTGCAGCCTGTGTTTTTGTTCGCTCCAGGATTGTGTTATGGATGAATGCAGGGTATGATTACTGTACAGAGCTATTTGCTAGTGTATATAATGTATTATGTGGTTGTACTCATTTGACAATCTATAACTTCATGGACATTTTGGGGAGAATGAGCTTGAGCATTTGGGCACGACCAGCTGGAGAATATGGTAGATACAGTATGATAAATATCTGGATAATGATATGAGGAAGTCACCGCTGTACTGTGAAATAACTCTTTGATATGCAAGTGTTTCAAGGATATCCTGTGCTCAACAACATTGCGTTTATACATTTCTGCTGAAGGCTGATAGTTCACAGATTTCTCCTTCTCATCATTCACGAATCTCTCAGTACCGAGTTAATCGGTGGAACAAAGAATATCGCGATGCAGGGCGAAAGCAGAGTCAACTCAGTTCAACACGTACGTGCCACGCCACGCCGAGTGGCGAAGCTCCGTGAATGGCGCTAATGGTAACCACGCGGAGTCGTCTCAGTCAAAAGTCTCGCCAAGAATCTGCGAACATCGAGATAGCCGGCGCGTCTCGGCTGCTTTCAGGAATTCATCATGTCGAGCTGTTCGGCAATCGAAATCGAAGAACGTGTTCAGGAAAGATGAAGTGCATTTCTCACAGCAATAAATGTACCACTGAAATCAGTATCTCCTTCACTCAACAACTACCTCCTTCCGCATGATTGTACAGCCTCGCGTCGCCTGACTACGAAGAGTCGACTTCCTGCGCGCCATTTTTTTTTTCCTTAGATATTCTTCGTGACAAAAACTGTGTTGCTGTTAATCTGCTCGCAAGCCCACCTGCCAGAAAGCGAAAACCGATTCTGAAAAAAAGTCCCCCTGTAGCGCCCTGCGCCATAGCAGCTCCCCCTATATCCCCGGCCTCTATAGCTAGCTTGAATCCCGCGGATTCCGCTAGGATTTGACCCTCCCGGCGTCGCAAAATGACTGGCCACGCCAGATTCCTCATCGCCATCGTGCTTCTCTTTTCGTCCACGTGTCAATGCCTCGCGATTCGACGAGCTCACCGTAAGCCATGACCTTACGTCCTGCTATCAACTATCGCCTGCATTTCTTTACCCTGTTCGCACTAATCTCATCACTCAAAGTTTGGATTCAAGAAGCATTCTTCTCCGCATTTTATTCTCACCTGAACATCTCCCCCCTTCCCCCCCGCCCTCCGCCCCCCGCACTCCTCATTGCTGCGCCAATCGCAGCGCGGTCACTCTATATCGTGCGCCTGCGTTCGGCCCTTCCCCTCGCCGCGTATCGCGGCGGAATAGCGAGCTTCTCGGGATGGACGGACGACGACGATGACTCGGATGATCGTACCGGTCCGTCAGGTCTGCGGGCGACAGCGGCGACGGTGGCGCACGAAGCCGCGACGCTGGGCGGCAGCATTCCGCGGCGCGCGCGGCTGAGCATGGAGAACCCGCAGCTAAGAGCATACGCGCATATGCTCGAGACGCAGCAGACCCAAGTCGCGTCTGACGTGGGCGTGATGTCAGAACACATCGTTTACAAGTACGTGGCAGAAACACGTCTAGAGCCTGTTTTTGGAGCCCCATTCCATGGCATCCCTCCCATACTGTTCCCACACCGAGTGGGGTGGGTCTGCTTTCCTTTACATGCCTTCCCTCAATCCCCCTGGACCCTATTCTCCCCAACTCCTGCTCCCCTTTTCCCCATCCACCAGCTACATGCACACGAGCAACGGGTTCGCAGCGGCCCTCTCCCCGCAGCAGGTGTGGCGGCTGCAGCGGCACCCGGCAGTGGCGGCAGTGACGCGCAGCCGCAGAGTGACCCCTCTCACCACCGAATCCCCCACCTTCCTGGGCATGCGCGCCCCCGGGTCGCTGTGGCCTGCCAATGGCGGGCAGGCGAGCGCGGGCCAGGGCATGGTGATAGGCGTGGTGGACACGGGCATCTGGCCGGAACACCCCTCCTTCAGCGATAAGGGATTCTCCTCCTCGAAACCCGCCGGCTGGTCAGGAAAATGCGACACCACGAGCGAGTTCAAGTGCAATAATAAGCTCATAGGTGGCCGCGTGTTCTACAAGGGATTTAAGAAGGACATCGGCGACCCGGACCTGTCTTCAGACTGGTTGTCTCCCCGGGATTCGGATGGCCACGGCACATGGTGTGCAAGGTACGCGGCTTGAATTCACTCAGGCTTTGAGATGTCAATGGCTCGACCTTTACATGTGAGCTTGCATGCTTTAGTCTTCAAATCTTAACCATGCATTGCCCCCCCGTTCAGTCGGGTTTTGAGATGTTACGGTGACTCTGCTCACTCTCTATCTATCCTCCCAACTATCCTCTCCCCCCTCCCACCCCGCCATGCACCCCCTCTGCAGCGCGGCAGCGGGCAACAAGGACGTGCCCATGGCGGGCGGCAAGGCGAGCGGCATGGCGCCGGCAGCGCGCTTGGCAATGTACAAGGTTCTCTGGTACTCTGAAGGCTCTCTCACCGGGACATGGGCCGACATCGATGCAGCAGTCAACCAAGCGGTGGCGGACGGTGTGGATGTCATCTCGATCTCGCTGGGCGGCATGGATAATAAGGAGACCTACTTCGACCACATGCCGTATCTCAGTGCTAACCTGGTGTGTTTACTTACAGAACTGTGTCTGCCATATGCTGCTTCCAGCACACCAGCCATCACCTCGCGCTCACACTTTGTTTGCGCCCCCCGCTCTCCCTTTCTACCTCTCCTTCTCCTTGCTGGTCCAGGCCGGGGTGGTTGTGTCATATGCAGCAGGGAATGCCGGCTCGCCAGGCTACTGGGATCCTGGGTACTTTCGCACAATAGACAACTTCTCGCCCTTCTATCTCACCGTGGGGGCTAGGTGAGCCTCCCTGCCCCTCTTCTCCCCCCCCACCCCCCCCTCCTATCTCTCTCCCCCTCTCTTTCCCTCTCTCTCCTGCTCTCTCTCATATTCATATAAACGTTTCTCCCTGCTTACATCCCTCTCTCAATCTTGCCGTACTCTCCCATCTGCCTACCCAATTTCTCCCCGCAGCACCATAGGCCGTGGCGGTCTAACCCTCAAGGCCGCAACAGCAGCAGCGGCAGGCCTCAGCAACTCATCCTCCTCCTCTTCAGCCGCCCCAGCAGCCACCGCCCACCCTACCATTGCCGATTTCTCCTCCACGGGACCCCTATGCGACCCTAACACCGACGCCACCGGCGCTCTCCCCACCAACAGCATCTTAAAGCCCGACATTGTTGGCCCGGGCGTGGATCTCTACGCTGCTGCCCCGGGCTCAAAAATCGGCAAGCCGGGCAGCTTCGCACAGCTGTCGGGGACGTCGATGGCGACGCCTCACTTGGCGGGCATTGCTGCTCTCATCATGCAGAAACACCCCCCATGGAGCCCCGCGCAGGTCATGTCTGCCATCATGACCACCGCCAAGACCACTGACACCAGCGGTGCCGCTATCAAGGATTCTAACGGCGAGGCTGCTACTCCGTGGGATATGGGAGCTGGTCACGTCTTCCCACGCAAGGTGCTGGACCCTGGGCTTACCTTCGATGCTCGGGCAACGGCGTATCGGAATTTCCTTGCTGGGCAGAGTATGAAGCAGGCGCAGAGGCACTTTCCGAACGCCAAGCTTACTGCGCTTGCTCCCCGTGAGTTGAACCGTCCGAGCATCTCCATTTCCCGGTTGAAAGGGATGGTGACAGCAACCAGAACGGTGACAAGCGTTGCTGATACGTCCTCCACATATACAGCTAACATCAAGCCTCCCAATGGTGTCTCCGTCACGGTATCACCCGACAAATTCACTATCACTCCGGGTAAGAAGGTCACTTTCACGGCGACCTTCAAGGTGACTAAGACGTCTAACAACACTCAGTTTGGAAGTATGACATGGGTCGATGAGAAAGGGCACTCAGTGAGAATGGTGCTTGCTGTCCACCCTATAAAGAAGTGAGAATGCGTGTGAGTTATACCGTAGCTTGTATATTGTTAGGTGTATTACATGAGTGGGTAAATTACTGTTGCTGTATTTGTTGTAAGTGCCAAACTTCTCAACGCTTCATTAACAGTATGACGTAGGGTGACAATTCTTTAGCAGACGTTGTTATGAGCGGGTGATTATTGCTTGGTACACAAACTTCGCAAAAAAACAATGGCTTCCGAACTCGCACTCCTTTCCCGTCAAACTATGGTTGCGAAATATCAAGATTCAGTTGCATTCTTCAACATGCCGTGAGAATGAAACGGGAATGCACACAAATGGCAAACTGGGGACGGACACTGGGAAAGGTGACTCAGAAAGGCCACTCCATAAAGGATGCGAAGAATTTACCGTAGATTGAAATATATTCTTTACTGACCAACAAGACGGCGCATATGTACATATACATAGTGAGGCACTCAGAACACTTTTCACTCTTCATCGTTAATGAACTTTCCTGTACCGGGGTTAATCGCCGCGACGAAGAAGAACGCGATGCTCGCGAGCAGCAGCGGCTCCAGCTCCCAAACCGGCAGGCCCGTCTCAATATTCAACTGCGCCAGCGCACCCCGCCCCGTCACCACCTCGCCAATCAGCGACGCGGCAAACCCTAGCTGCGCCATGCGCCCCACGAACAGCTCATTCGCCTTGGTGAATCCAAACAGCGGCCCGTCCTCGCTCAGCCCCAGAGCCGACTTGAAGCTCCCGGGCTTCACGGGCGGCCCCGCCGGCTCGTCGTCCACGAACCGCCCGCGATCGCCCAGCCCGCCGATCGCGCCGAGCACGGTGAATGCGATGAAGAAGAGTAAGAGTGGCTCGGCTTCCGTGATCGGAATGCCGGTTTCGAGATTGAGCTGCGAGAGAATACCCTGCCCCGTGACGGCCTCGCCGAGGAGCGACGCGGCGAAGCCGAGCATCGCGACGCGCCCCACGAAGAGCTCGTTGGCCTTCGTGAAGCCGAACCCTCCCGAAGTGCCGAAAATTCCATCCTCTGTTCGTAGCTGCTTCTTAACGGGGACGTTCTTAGAGGGAGCTGCGGAATTGTTGAAGTTTAGGAGGGCGGAGACGCCGAGCCCGCGAGGGGCGATCGGCGCGACAGCCACTAGGTTGGGGGTGGAGAGAGCAGCACCCCTAACTGCGGTTCTGAAAGAGAGAGCCGTGACGGCCTGACGCGCAACGAGGGAGGAAGCCATATAGAGTGTGTGTGTGAGAACGGGTCGAAAGTATGAGTCTCAAACGAGTTTCTATTGTCACGTCTGAAGATGTGAGGGGTGGTCGTTGCTACGATAATGATAGGAGCTCCTTTCAAAAATATGTGTCTTCAACTCGGTCGAGTCGCGAATTGGAACCCGGTGCAGCTGCTGGAGAAAAGCCCACATGCAAAAATGACCATCAAATTCATCAGTGGGACGTGGACAAGATCTCTGGCTGCCATGCTGGAGGCTGGTGCTTCGAGCTCTCACGCCGAAGAGCTACACGTCACCCTGACATGAGAGCTTTCCATGCTGGCTCAAAAGCGTCTTCTCGCTTTCCAGAATAGAGGCCGAAAATCGTACACATCAGATCAGCGACCTTTCTCGAGACTCCCGAACAAATTGGGACGCTAGTGTTGACCTCCTCTGACCTCATTTGTTGGACGAAATGCCTGCCAGCTCCGCATCCTATGAGCAACATCAGAATTTGGTGCAAGCACGGCAGATAGTTCAATTGGATGATGCAGTGAACATGAATACCATGACATGGATATACGATAATACAATACAGAAACTTAGTGTAAGGAATTTTGCTAATTCCTTTCTGAGGCACTCCATACGCGTACATTTCCAACTTTCTAAGTTCAGGCTAGGTCCGTCGACCTCGCCTTCCGAACTTCCTACGCGTCGCCTTCGGGTTTCCCCAACCCTGAACCTGCACCCAAACTTCGCGCGACTCCGCGACCTCGGCCTAGCTAGCTTTGCTATATTATGCCTAGGCCCCGTTGTTTGCTCAGTAGTTGTAATCACTTCCTCGTTATTGAATACTGCGCACTCTTCTTTCGTACAACCCATAATAAGACAGTTCAGTTGGATGATGCAGTGAACATGAATACCATGACATGGATATACAATAATACAATACAGAATCTTAGTGTTACATAATTTGTTTTATCTTGTTGATGATATTGCCTGTACAACAATAGCAGATCTCACTGCGTGCCCATTATCGTCTTCCCAATGAAGGCTTCCAAACTGGAAGGTCTTGTACGGTCTAGTGACGTTCAACACCACCCGATACGTGACTGCTCTTCCAGGAGAAATGGTGAAATGGTCTGGCTGAACTGTAACCCTAACTCCTGGAGGCTCCGTCACCCTTGCTTTGTACGTGCAGGTCGAACTCGCAACGCTCACCACCGTTCTAAACACATCCACCGACCCTTTCAACCTCGCCACCGAAATCGTTGGCCGGTTCAAATTCCACGCCTTCTTCCGGTTAAGTTTCGCCCTTGGAAACTCCTTCTTTGCTGCCCGATAATCCTGCCCAGCAAGAAAATTCACATAAGCCCATCTCCGGGCATTGTAGGTCAGCCCAGGGTCCAAAGCCCTCTGGGGAAACACATGCCCGGATCCCATCTCCCAAGGGGTAGCAGCCACACCACGCTCATTCAAAATTCTCCTCCCCTTGGTGTTCCTAGTTATGGCAGTGGTCATAATGGCGGACATGACCTGCGCGGGGCTCCACTTGGGGTGCTTCTGCATGATGAGAGCAGCAATGCCCGCCAAGTGAGGCGTCGCCATCGACGTCCCCGACAGCTGAGACGCCTCCCCCCCTCGCCCGCCCCTCCCCCCTGCCTTCCCCGGGACTGTGCCGACCCATGCCGCCCAGAGGTCGACCCCTGGGCCGATGACGTCGGGCTTTAAGAGGCTGTTGGAGGCGTGGCCTGGGGGAGGGCGCGACCAGGGGCGGTGGAGGGGGCCGGAGGAGGAGAAGGCGGCTACCACTGGAGCGGCTGGAGCAGCGGCTGTGGCAGATGGGTCTGCTGCTGTGATGGATGGAGCATGCAGTGATGGTGACTCAGTGGTGCTGCTGCTGCTGCTGCTGCCGCTGCTGGTTGTGACGGTGTTTGTTGGGTCTTTCCCTACTGTGGTCACGGCTGCTGCAGTGCTTGGGTGTGTTTGGACTTGCTGCTGATTGTCAGTTTCTGCTTCACGGCTCCCGTATTCGACGTCTGGTGTGGGTGAGGTGGCGAGGGATACTCCTCCTCGTGTAATGGAGCTGGCATGGGGGATGGAGGGGGGGGGGAGGAGAGGAAGCGATGATGAGCGAGAGGCGAAGGGATGGGGCGGGAATGGGGGCGGCATGAGGGCGGCATGAGGGGGGCATGAGGGGGGCATGTGGGGGGCATGAGGGGGGCATGAGGGGGGCATGTGGGGGGCATGATGGGGGCATGATGGGGGCATGAGGGGGGCATAAGGGGGCATGAGGGAAAGGGGGCCGGAAGGGAAAGGGGGCGGCTGTAGTTGTGTTAGGATAGGAGATTGCATCAGTAGCTCTGTTGTGTGTGGTTTGCTGCCTTATCCTGTGTGTACCCTAGTGATATTAATACGACGGACCGTTTGAGAGAGAGAGAGAGGAAGAGGCCCACCTTGCCCCCACGGTGAGGTAGAAGGGTGAGAAGTTGCTAACGGTGCGGTATGTGCCCAGGGGGTTTGACAGAGGCGCCCCGTTGTTGCCCGCTGACATCACCACCGTTACCCCCGCCTGCAGGGACGGAGAGGAGAGGGGAGGGGAAGGATCTGGTGAGAGAGTTGCCCTCACAAAGTGACGGTTGCTGCCTGCTATGCTAACATGAGCACTAGTACCTTGGCCTGCTGTCATCAGATCAGAGTACGAAGGCAGAGCGAGATATGGAGAGCACATGCACGCCGTCCCTCACAGCCTGATTCATTCCCCATCCAACCCCCCACCCCCATGCTGTGGCGAGAGCCTTACGAGCTGTTACGAGCGCGTATGGGGAACAAACACCCCCATGCTGTGGCGAGAGCCTTACGAGCTGTTATGAGCGCGTATGGGGAACAAACACCCCCATGCTGTGGCGAGAGCCTTACGAGCTGTTACGAGCGCGTATGGGGAACAAACACCCCCATGCTGTGGCGAGAGCCTTACGATGATCACAAGGCCTTGTACCTGCTTCCCTCCCCCCCTCTCCCCCCTTCCCCCATTTCCAGGCCAAAGCTTCCCCCCTGCCGCTGTGAGTCAACTCAAGTCAACGCACCAGATTCGCGTTCATGTATGCCACGTCATCAATATACGTGGCATCGGGGTCGTCGGCCGAGAGGGAGATGGACATCACATGCACGCCGTCCGCTACAGCCTGATTCACCGCCGCCAGAAGATCCGCAGACTCGCCGCCCAGAGCGCGCATCTCCGGGCGGTCGCCTTGGGAGTACCAGAAGACCTTGTAGGCCGCGAGGCGCGCTGCTGGCGCCATGCCGCTCGCCCTGCCGCCCGCCATGGCCACGCCGCTGTTGCCCGCTGCCGCGCTGGTAGAGACAAGGGGGTTGAGCGAGGTGGGGAGGGAAAGGGGGAGGGGGAGGGGGGAGTGGGGAGGTGGGGAGCGGGAGGAGGGGAGCAAGGAGGATGGAAGAGAATTATAAGAAATGGGAGAGAAGCAAATGAATGGGAGATGAGAATGCGAGATGAGCAAATTGAATGGGAGAGGAGAAAGCAAGGGGAATGACCAAGAAAGGGATATTCTGCCGACTTACCCCGCACACCAGGTGCCGTGGCCGAATCCATCTCGCGGCGACAGCCAATCAGTACTAAGGTCCGGTTTCCCGTGCTTCGCCCGGAAGGCCGCGTTGAATATCCGCGCCCCGATGATTTTGTTGTTGCACCTGAAGTCTGACGTAGCATCGCACGATCCTGACCATCCGTTTGGCCGAATCGCGCTGAAATTCTTGTCGCTAAACGACGGATGCTCGGGCCAAATTCCAGAGTCTATAACCCCCACCACCATCCCTTCCCCCGCCCTCCGCTGCCCGCCAAGCGCGCGCCACACTCCCCCGCTTCCGCGGTTGGCGCGGTTGCGCGCGCCTGCGAGTTCCGCGAGCCCTAAGAACGCGGGGGAGTCGATGGTGTCGGGGCGGAGGGGGCGGCTGGGGCGCGCGGAGGCGACGGCAGGGTGGCGCGCGAGGCTGCGGAGTTGCGCGGGAGAGAGCAGCGCGGCGAAGCCATTTATGATGTGCTTGTAGCTGATAGGTGCGCGGAATGGAAGAGGGGAGGAGGAAGGAAATTGTTTTGGCAAGTTCACGCTTGTATTGTAGAGATAAGAGTGCTGTTGTGCTGCGGTGATGCTCTGTGTTCGCCGGCGGTTTAGGAAACGCGTGTGAATTACCATATTGATTACGCCGCATGCCCTCTTCGCCTTTTTGTTTAACTCTGCATATTATGTGCCTCACCTGTACGCGATATTATCCGCCGCGATACCGACTTCCGCGGCGACCTCTGCCTGCATCTGGGCCAGAAACTCCGCATATGCGCGCACGTGGGAGGCGCGCATGCTCATCCGCGCCCGCCCAACCGCAAGATTTTCCGGAGGCTCCTTCAGACTGCTTGTATTCTCAAGCGTCAGATTCCCAGAACTGCTGTCTGCTTCACTTCGTGAATCTGCGGAGCCCGTCGTCGCGCCAACGGGCCGCCGCAACGTCGGCCATGAGTCGTACTCCCCGTCATCATCTGGATCGTCGACGCTGTTGGTAGTTACGATGGCGGGATATCCAGCGATTTCGCCGCGATATGCAGCGAGCGGGGGCGCGGAATGCAGGCGCACGATGTACATACTGGCGTCCGCGTCGCGAGATTCCCTGGGGGGATCGATTCGCCGGTCGTCAGATCCATGGGATCGCGTGGGCGTCGGTAGCTCTGCGAGGACCAGCATTGATGATACGAGGATGGCTAGAAAAGCCATTGCGCGGAGTCCGGCGCTGAATCCGGCGCTGAGTCCGGCAGATCTGCTAACGCAGCTCGCTCGCTACTACGTACAGTAATAGCGACGTCAGCTATCGTTTGTGCCAAGGATCCATGGCAAAGGTCAATGGCGGATGGGCTGGCAAAGCATCATGATAAGTGATACTCATGCCTACTTCTGTACTACAGGAGCACATGATATGCCGCATATAGCACGTGCGTGCACTGAGCTGTACTTTGCTGTCAGTGCTGTGTGGCATCGCTGGTGTCGCCTGGTGCTTGTGGTGTGGAGTGAGTGCGCTTGGGCGTGCGCTAGAGTGTGGCTGGATCTTGCTCTGCTCGAATTGAATGGAGAGAGGAATTCCAGGGCTTGTGCGAATGGGGGTGGCTCGGCGGTGGGGTGAAGTAAACGACGGCGCGCGAGAAATTCGAGAAAAAGGGGCGCTGTGGGGAGGCCGGCCCGCATATTTTATTGACGAGGTGAGCTTCGAGTTTCGTTATGCCTGTTACTAGGGTGGCGGAATTCGCTAATCGCGTTAACCACTCGTATGTAAACACCAGCAGCTAGATTGTGTGGCGAAAATCGCAGCTGCTCCAAACTTTTGGGTTGGGTTGGGAGAACTTGGGATGGAATGGGCGGCGAACTCCCCGCTAGTGGGTGATGGTGTCATGTGCGACACCGTCATCCGCTAATCGAATCGGACTTCGAGTGAACCGCGCTTTGTGGCGGCTCCACCCAGCATGGTTGCATGTCTTCCTGGCGCGATCTACACACTCATCTGTGTCATCAAGGTATAAGCAGCTCCGCTGGTCGGTGGGTGTACAGAATTTCTGTTGTATTCTAGTACATAGGCCAGAGTTTTACCATAAGTGCAGAAATGTCAAGGAAACCCTTTCTGCTATTCCAGCGTATACTGGTACACTTGGGCTGGGAAAATAGTATGAGCGAGAGAGGATGGGATGGGATGGGACAACGTGATATGTACAATACAGCCAGCTATTGTGTTAATGAAGCATCTACAAGCATGGCACCACGAAAAGGACCGCAGCCGCAGCTCCACCATTCAATGCAATGTATAAAATCAGAGGTAGACCTAAGGAACAGGGTGCATCCAATCGCACTACATAGAATAGCACTAGTGCCAGTACCCTCTCGCTCACAACTTAGTGGGTTGAATTGCTAGCACCATTCTCACCGCGTGACCTTTACCATCGGCCCATATTAGGCTTCCAAACTGAAAGTCCTCGGCAGTCTTAGTCGCCTTGAAGGTCACCGTGAAGGTAATCTTCCCATTCTTTGCGATTGTGAACTTGTTGGGCGAAACTGTCACATCCACCCCCTTAGGAGGCTTTATGGTAGCTGTGTATGTGCTCGACGAGTCGGCAACGTTTGTCACGGTCCTGGTAGCTGTCAGCCTCCCTTTCAAGCGCGAGATTGAGATGCTCGGCCGGTTCAACTCCCGGGGAGGAATCGCGCTCAGATTGGCACCCGGAAATTCCTTCTGTGCCCGCTTCATACTCTGCCCGGCAAGGAAATTCCTATACGCAGCTGCCCGAGCGTCAAACGTGAGCCCAGGATCCAGCACCTTGGCTGGAAACACCTGACCAGCGCCCATGTCCCAAGGAGTAGCAACCTCGTCATACGCAGTCTTGATAGCAGCACTAGAAGTGTCAGTGGTCTTGGCGGTGGTCATAATGGCGGACATGACCTGCGCGGGGCTCCACTTGGGGCGCTTCTGCATGATGAGAGCAGCAATGCCCGCCAAGTGAGGCGTCGCCATCGACGTCCCCGACAGCTGGGAATAAGTCCCCGGTTTCCCGACCTTCTCAGCGGGCCAAGCAGCATAGAGATCCACGCCTGGGCCGGCAATGTCGGGCTTTAAGATGCTGTTGGTGGGGAGAGCGCCGGTGACGTCGAAGGAAGGATCTGTGAGGGGGCCTGTGGAGGAGAATTCGGCGATGGATGGGTAGGCCGTGGCTGCTGGAGTGACTGAGGATGAGTTGCTGAGAGCTGCTGTTGCTCTTGTGGTGGCCTTGAGGGTTAGACCGCCTCGGCCTATGGTGCTGCGGGGAGGAAGAGGCAGGTGGGAGGAGGGAGAGTGACGAAGGAAATGTGAGTGAGCAGCGAGAAACAATGTAAGCCGGAGAGGTGGCACGGATGGGGGTCAAGCAGAGAGGTTAGAAGGGCAGAGAATCTGTCATTCCCAGCTGCTCCCCACAGGAAAAGAAGCTGTGTTTTGAGTCGTCTCAAAACCGAATCTGCCATAACCATTCCCACCTGGCCCCCACGGTGAGGTAGAACGGCGAGAAGTTGTCGAGTGTGCGGCCCAAGAAGGAGTTGTACGGGCCAGCATTGCCCGCCGCATACGACACAAACACCCCCGCGAGATTCGCCGCGAGATACGGCATGTGGGAGAAGTAGGTGTCCGTTGGATCGTTGCCGCCCAGTGAGAGCGAGAGCACATCCACACCGTCCGCCACCGCCTGGTTGACGGCCGCTTCGATGTCGGCGGATACAGCGAAGAGGGAGCCATCGGAGAACCAGAAGACTTTGTACATTGCCAGGCGCGCTGCTGGCGCCATGCCGCTCGCCTTGCCGCCCGCCATGGGCACATCCTTGTTGCCTGCCGCGGCACTGGAGATACGGGGGGATGGGACGGGGGGGAGGGATGGATTGAAGGATAGAGAGTGGGAGGAGTCACCCCACAATGACATGTCAAAGTCGTCCTCCACAATCGTCCTCCATAATCGTCCTCCACAATCGTCCTCCACAATCGTCCTCCACAATCGCCCTCCACAATCGTCCTCCACAATCGTCCTCCATAATCGGCTTCCATGAGCACGTCTTTGTTGCCCACTGCTGCACTGGAAGAGGGGGGGAGGGATGGGACACGGGGCGAGGAGAGAGAAGGGAGGCAGGGGTGGGGAGGTGGGAAGGGGGAGAGGAGATGAGAGAGGGATACGTGGAGGCAGGATGAGTCACCATAGTGGGCTGAGGCATCTCAGCCCAAGCCACTGAGCCTCTCAGGCATCTCGAAACCCATGCGGTGGGAGCCCAAGCCACGTACCCTGCACACCACGTGCCATGGCCGTACGAATCCCGAGGCGACAGCCAATCGGTCGTCAGGTCCGGCCCGCCATTGTCCGCCTTAAAGCCCTTGTAAAACGCCCGTGCGCCGACGAGCTTATTATTGCACTTGAACTCGCTCGTGGTGTCGCATTTCCCCGACCAGCCGGCGGGTTTCGAGGAGGAGAATCCCTTATCGCTGAAGGAGGGGTGTTCCGGCCAGATGCCCGTATCCACCACGCCTATCACCATGCCCTTCCCCGCGCTCGCCTGCCCGCCATTGGCGGGCCACAGCGACCCGGGGGCGCGCATGCCCAGGAAGGTGGGGGAGTCGATGGTGAGAGGGGTCACTCTGCGGCTGCGTGTCACTGCCGCCACCGCCGGGTGCCGCTGCAGCCGCCAAGCCTGCTGCGGGGAGAGGGCCGCTGCGAACCCGTTGCTCGCGTGCATGTAGCTGGGGGAGGGGGAAGCGGGGTGGGAGCGGGGGTGTGGGAGTGGGGGAGTGGTGCAGGGGAGCGGGAAGGGGGGAAAGTGGGGGGGGAGAGGAGAGAGGTTGAGTGGGAGTTGAGGGAAGGGATGGGAATGGAGAGGTCGAGAAGGGTTGTAGGCGGTGTAGGTGAGCGCTGCTGCAAGCTCTTAGTTTGCGTGCATGTAGCTGGGGGAGAGGAAGAGGGGGAAGGAGGAGTGGCAGCGAGTGGGGTGCACGATGGGTGAGGGGAAGGGATGGGTATGTGGGGGGAAGGAGGGTTTTAGGTGTGGTATGGGGGGTTTGGGAGCGGTGGGTGATGTGGGGAGCCATGGCATGGGGCTGAGAATGCACTGCTGCTGGAATTCCGCTGCTCAGAGAAACCTGGAACAAAGGCTCTAGAAAACGCGACGAGCTGCTAATTTCGGTCCCCGCAACGTACTTGTACACAATGCGGTCTGACTTCACGCCCACGTCAGACGCGACTCCGATTTGCTGCGTCTCGAGCATCTGCGCGTACGCCTTGAGCTGCGGGTTCTCCATGCTCAGCCGCGCGCGCCGCGGAATGCTGCCGGCCAACGTCGCCTCCTCGTGCGCTACCGTCGCCGCCGTCGCGCGCAGACCTGACGGACCAGTAGCATCGTCGCCGTCGTCCGTCCATCCCGAGAAGCTCGCGATTCCGCCGCGATACGCGGCGAGGGGAAGCGCGGAGCGAAGGCGCACGATATGTAGTGACGTGGATTTGGGGTTGGGCGCTGCGGTTGGCGCAGCAAGGATGTGTGGGGGGGCGGAGGGGGGAAGGTTGGAACGCGGAAGGGAACAACGGGAAAGGATATCAAGATACAGGAGAAGGCGGAACGAGGATTGTGGGACGAAGAGGAGTGGTCTTCAGAGATGAATGCGACCGGCTGACTCAAAGCTAGGTCAAAGTCTGGGGTTAGGCACGAGATAAGAGGAACAAGAGACGTGGATTACCTCGTCGCACGGCGAGGGCGCATTGACACGTGGACGAGAGGAGAAGCGCGATGACGAGGAGGAATCTGCCGCGGCCCGTCATTATGGTCATTGTGGTAGTTGTGGTCATTGTGGCGTGTCAACTCGGAGCGGTAGCTGCGGGTGTCGATCTCGAGGCTGAGGAGTCCCGAAGACGCAGTTAGCGTATTGGAGGGTTCTTACAGGTAACGATATCGAACAAGTTTCTTCAGTTACTGATGAACGGTTTAGGTTGGCTGGCGAGCGACTGAAAGCGAAGGAGATTCAACAGTGACGAGCGAACGCGCAGAGAAGGCCAGAAAAGACACATCGAAAGTTAGAAAGTGTGGGGTAAAGAAGAGAGGTGACGTGAGGCAATCGGCTGCGGGATGCAATTTGAACGATACGGATTCTGAATGTGGTGGGACAGAGTTGGTTTAGTTGGCAATGAAAGAGATGAACTGACATGATTTGCTCAACTGCCGAACGCGTTTCT